CACCGGTCGACCGGACAGGTCGACCGGTCAGCCTGCAATCTGATCAACCGCATCGGTCGACCGGTTTCCATGTGATCCGGTCGACCGTACTGGTCGACCGATGGAATCAGCTGCGCGAGAGAAGCTCGCGAAAATCAATCCAAACCCTGTAAATCCAGTCCCAAATCGAGATTTTTCAAAGGGAAACCACTAGATCTGGGTTCTAGGTCCTAAAACAAGTCCAAAGAACCCAAGATCTCCAATTTCTACTATAGTTTTACTCAAAAACCATCAGAATCCGGTTTGAACCAAAAATGGGTTTTGAAATCCGAAAACGTAAGATTCAAGATAGGTTCTTTCAGTAATCTTACCTCGAATCCTTCTCTTGATGTTGAAAACTTCTTTAAGTCTTTGCTTGGTTCAAGATCCGTTTGATTTGGGATAAAAATGAGAGAGAGTAAGAGTGAGAGAGAGCACGGGAGAATGAGAGAGAGAGAAGGGAGAGAGACGCACGGGAAAGGAAGAGAAAAAGAAAAGAAAAGGAAAAGGAAAAAGAAAAGAAAAGGAAAAAGGAAAGGAAAAGGGCATGTGTACAATATTTTAAAAGAACAGTCCAGAAATGCGCCCATACACACTTCTGGGTTAAAAATAAATTACTGAGAATAATTTAAATACTTTGGAACTATTTAAACTCACACGTGTCAGAAACATTTATTAATTAAACTCAATTAATAATCCAGATTAGGCACACTAATAATCTTAATTACCTTAATTAATCTCAATTAATTCTTCAGGGTGTTACACAATGTATGACTAATGTAACAGAATGCTATCAGAATGCTACAGCATTTTAGGAATGACTAATGTAACAGAATGCTGTCAGAATGTTACAACATTTTATGAATAGTTGAAAACAGAATGCTAGCTAAATGCTACAGCATTTGGACGTACATAGTAAGAAAAAAAATTTGGCTTGAATTTTTAAGAGGTTATAACTAGTAAGCAGTAGAGGTTAAGTATGAACATAGGATGATGATCAAAAGTTAGGGTCGTCACAGATTTGATCCGAGAAAAATTATGTATGCAGAAATTGATGTGCAATCATCCCGATTACCGGCCCAATCGGCATCCGAGTAGGCCGTTAGTTGAAGGGGAGATGACCTTTGAAGCTACAAGCCATGAGAAATGATATTTTTGAGATAACGTAGTAAGCGCTTTGTAGCTGTCCAATGTGATTGGATAGGAGCATGCATAAATTGAGCGAGTTTGTTTACGGTGTATGCAATATCCGGTCGTGTTAGAGACAAATATTGCATGCCACCGAAGAGACTTCGGTATTGAGTGGCATCAGTAGAAGCTGAACCATCATTGAGAACAAATGGGGTAGATGTGTGTTAGGAACCTAATATTTAGAAATCTTTTTCAATAGATTTTTAGGAGAGTATAAATAGGAGGTTTAGTTGCTAGGGTGGCGGGAATCAGATTTGTAGAGAGTGTCTAGTTCTGTGCACTATTTTGAAGGTTGTGGGTCCTCAAAACCGTCCATCTATCTTGTAATTTTCTATTTCTAGTATTGTTAATTAAGCATAGATTTTCAGGATCCTAACAATGGTATCAGAGCATCTTCGATCCACGGAGCTCTTTAAGTTGAGAGAGAAACTTTGGGCTGCTCTAAGAGCTAATCACAAGGTTTTTGGAGGGAGTATGGGGGAACTCTGGGACCATGTGGGGAAGATTCGGACCTAGATGGGTGACATGCAGGCAGCGCTGTGGAGGATGGAGGTACTGCTGGCGGCGCGGCCAATGGCCGGGGAGGCCGAGTTGGGTCGCGACGGTGAATGACGGGGCGGGGAAAGGCGAGATCGCGCGCCTCAGGGCGAGGAGAGCCCAGATCGCGTCGACCTAGGTGGAGTAGAGGTGCCAAATCGGGCGGATCTTCACCGGGAAGCGCCGATTGACGAAGATCGAGGCCGCGAGAGGGAGTTCCGACGCCGAAGAGACATGGGTCTCATGGAGGAGCGCGAGATCCATCGCGATCTGGGGCTAGGTGGTCCGGATCTACAGGGCGAGGGTTTGTTCGACGACGGGAGGAGGGCAGAAGGAGGTCGCGACCGTCGGGAGAGGGCGACGAAGCTTGGTCGGCGACGGGAAGTGGAGTGGGAGCCGGAGTTAGAGGAGGAGAGGCTTGCTCCGAGGCTGGGACGGCATGGGCACCCTCGGAACAGGGAACCCAGCCCTGATTCGGTCACGGTTGGGGCTGATTCTAGCCCAGTTTGGACCAGGCCTCGCGATTCCGACATGGAAGGGGCTGGTTTCGGTGCTACGGAGACAGATTTCGGCGGGGCGGAGGCTGGGCTCGACGCTTTGGCTGCTGTTTGGACCGGGCCTCGCAATTTCGGCGTGAAAGAGGCTGGTTCCGGTGCTACGGAGGAAGATTCCGGCGGAATTGGAGTGGGGTCCATGAATTTCGACGCCCTTAAGGTTGGGTTTTATGATTTTGACGCCATTGGAGCTAGCTCTGGCGAGATGATGGCTAGGACGGGGAATTCTGATGTGAAATCTGGCGATCTTGGGGCTGAATCCTGAAATTTTGTTCAGAAGTGGGTTGGGTCTAGTGTTTTCGATATGGACAGAGTCAATTTTGGGGTTGGGCCTCGTAATTACAATATTAGTAGGCCTAATTCTGGTGTAATGGTAGTCGAGCCTCAAAACTTTAACATGTTTGGGGCTGGAAATGGTACGATTGCAGATGGGAATAAAGAAATTGGTGAGAGTGAGGCTGAAAGGTTGATGTCCTGGTTGGCTAAGAAGGAAACTCCCTTAGTTTGGATCGATTTGCCAATATTTTTTGTGACCATTGATGAGCTTGCGCAGAGAGTTTCAAATGAATTGATAGATTTTGTGGTTGTTTTCCAAGATACAAAGAAGATGGAGAAGAAAGTAATTGATTGACTCCAATTTGAAGATATGACTTACGAGGATAACATTAATTTGGGGACTCAAATCAAGGAGCTAACAAAGCCTTTTATTCTTAATCATTTAGATGTTATTTTTCAATTTTATTTCTTGATTTTCACCTAAAATATTATGAATAAAAATAATGGAATTGCTTAATGAAAGCTTAAATATTTTAATATTATATAAATCAAAAGCAGTATTTATGGTGCATTTTCATGCACTGATCAGGGGTCCTCAAAACCACCCATCTATCTTTTAATTTTCTATATCTAGTAGTGTTAATGAAGCATAGATTTTCAGGATCCTAACAATGTGTTGATTGGTGTGACAATTGCCTTAGAGCCCTCCATGTTAAAGCGCTCAAGAAGATCGCGGACATACTTATGTTGGGACAAAAAAAGACCCTGAGCAGTTGGAATGGCCTCAACACCCAAGAAGAAATGAAGAGCTCCCAGATCCTTGATGGAGAAACGATGGGCCATAGCATTAATCACTTGTTGGACAGCCGATGGAGAATTGCCTGTTATTAATAAATCATCAACATATACCAAAAAATAAAGCACACAAAATTTGTCAGTGTAGAGAAATAAGGAAGAATCGGACTTGGAGTTGATGAACCCAAGAGTTAAAATAAATGCTTTGAGCTCGTTGAACCAAGCACGCAGTGCTTGTTTGAGGCCATAAAGAGAACGGCGGAGCCGACACAGATGTTGAGGTCGAGATTCATCAACAAAACCCGGTGGTTGAGACATGAAAACTTCCTCGAAAAGATGGCCATGAAGGAATGCGTTATTGACATCCAATTGGTGAATCGGCCATTGTCAAGAGGTTGCGATGCTTAAAACAACCCTGATGGTGGTGGGCTTAATGACTGATAGTTAGAAAATAAAGAGAGGAGTTAGTTAGACAATTGTATTGTGAGGAAATTGGAGAGTTGAGGTCTCTCGAAAACCTCTGTATGTGTGTAGAGTGTGTGGAAAGTTCCTAATTGAATCTTTCCGATAGTAGATAATTGAATAATACTTGAGTAATTGCATTCTTACCGGTGATTTGTTGGTGATCTCGTATCAATCTCATCATCTCATCACACATGGTATCTCTCATTTGGGGTCTTTGAGGGCTTGCTTCGCTGTGGTGGGTTCGAGAGTGGGTGATAGAGGATATTTTGTAGCAACATAGGAGAACTTTGTCAGAGGCTTGAATATATTATTTTAATAGATCTTATGGTCATGCCGTGGGTGTTGGTAAAAACAAGTTGTGCTGGTGCATGGATGATAGCAAGAACAATAGGGTTTACCACTTCTTCAGGAAGGGTTGACCACTTCTTCAGCCATGGTGAAAGAAGAAATATAGAGCAGAAAAGAAAGGATCGACTCGTTAGAGTTTTAACTCTCTGATACCATAAAAGAGTAAAGAGTATAAAAGAGTTTTGGTGAAAAATGATTTGTATTGACTTACTGATTTACAAAGTGTATATATACACAGATAACTACAAGACTAAGAATGGTAAGAATTGATACGGTCCTATAATTAGGAATATACAGCTACCATATAATTACAAGATGATTGGTAAGATTAAATGAGAAGATTATGACAGTTATTATTGCATGAGGAAGATTTTTCCTTAATATCTCTATGAAAAAAAAAAATCTTCAAGTATTCTTAAAATCTTCAACATTCAGGAAATCTACGTTATTCCAATTCGTTATTATGGGAATCTATACAACTAGTAATACTATTTTCACCATCACTTTAACAGTAATATAATTTCTAGTCATTACAACATATGTAATGTAATTCGTTTGTTTGGTAAGAATATTGAATTTATATTGAGTTTAAGATGAATTTTAACTCATTTTTGTTCAAATTTAATAAATTTCCGCTAATGACAAATATCATGATAGCGATTAGGCCCAGTATGAGCAAGGCTTCCCCAGTGGAGATTCTCCGACCGTATCAGCAAAAAACCAGAAATTTGTAACTGTTAAATAAATGTAGAACATCTGTGTCAAAAACACAATCTTAAACCGAACCCAAAAAAAATAATAATAATAAAGAACAGTTGAGAGCACAAAAGCCAGAAATGTTATTCATATTGTTGCTACATAGAAAACTTTGTTTAATTAAATCACACTGTAAAAACCACTATTTCCAATATGACAAGACAATGTTGTTGTCAAGGGAACAATTAAAAATAGCTGAAGGTGTCTCCATCTGCGTTCAACTCTGTAATGAAACTTGGAGAGAGGCTTTCTTCTTCATAAGGCCTGCATATTTCCAACAATCTTTTAAAGTATGATACCTTCAATCCCTTTTTTCTGCCGATATCGGAGCGGACAAAGCGCGGAGAAATTCGAGGGTCACCACTGACAACAACAGTTGTGTTATCATCAGCAAAATTGGACAGAGGCACCATGGAATCGGGTTCAGCGGCGAAGGAAGCGTCCACCATAAAGATATGGCTGAAATGGCCAGTGGAAAGGCCTGCATTGCGCAGGCGAAAGCTGGTAATAAAAGTAGAGAAAATCACTCTGAAACTGCTGAGCTCTTCATATGAAGGACATGAAAAGCAGTCCTTTATGTAGAGACAGGACGGAAGTATGTCACCAGGCACCTCTTCTTTCTCGCGAAATGCAGCATTTACCCGAAACATGTCTGATTTTGGAATTGCTTCAATTAGCCCTCTCATCAGCACATCACAGGCGCTGTTGTAAGGCGCGCAAATTAGGATTCGAGAAGTTGGCATTGTCTTGTGTATTTGGATCACTGCCTCTTGAATGACCAGTCCAGTTTTTGAAGGTTTTGGCTTGTGTGAGGAAGATTTCTTTTCACAGACACATCTTGGGCCGGAGACAAGGTAAGGTGGATAGCCCCGGATGCTTAGAATCTGACGAACTGCGGAGGACATGTCTGGATCGAGCTGATTGTGGCTTGACATTTTCATGGTTGGACTGGAAATTATGGTCTTCCGGGGCGAGTTAAAATCAGGAAACACGAAGTTTTCGAACGAAGAATGTGATAGATCGTAAACAGCTTGGTGGGCTCTTTTCAAGCAGACTCCACTGATTGAGAAACTGATGTCATATGTGCTTGCTGACCTATGCTGCGAGTAGAACTCCTTTTGAAACTCAACCAGTACAAGATCACTCTTCACCACCCGGTTGATAGAGCCCTGAATTAATATTACACAGTATAAATAAAATCATGGCTTGCAAATGTTACAAGAAAATTTACTAACAATTGATAGAAAAAGAAAGGTATACAATCTTGCAACAAGTTTTTGGCAGTGCACAAACAAAATGGTTACTTGTGCACTAGCCTTTCTGTATTAAGTGTACAATAATAGTCTAAGGGCCTGTTTGGGAAGCGTATCATGATTCTGATTCTGCTACAGTGTTTTTCTCTCACAAAGAATTTGAATAAAAAACAAATTCTCGCCAATCGTTCTCTCACAAAGAATTTGAATATGAATCAGTATCACTGATTTGAACGCGTAAACCAAATGGACTCTAAAAGATTGTGTGATATACGTTATCTCAGACTCTAAGTTCTATTGTTTTACCTTAATTTTGTGCTACATAAGTGCTTAGATCTAGATAGTTGAAACTAGCCTAATTAAATCACTATGTACAAATAATATACAAGTAACTTGCGAGAGATCACGATGTACAAATTTGTATTATTTGACGCAAATACTTCAAAGCTTCTCCTACAAAACTCTCTTTTGCCTCTTTAAAAAAAAAAAAAAGTATTGATAAACTCCACATTTAAAATTTTATCACATGATAACTGGTGATAATGTAAATCACCAAAAGCATTGGATTCTGAATTCCCTACATAAGTAGCTGGACTAAGTTGCTTGTTATTCGCCTGAATTACGTACGAAATCATTTTTCGGATAATATGAACAAGTAACAATCCGATTTCTTATATTGAGTACATAGTTTACCAAAGGAAGTTGAAAGAAAGTTACCTCAAATTGCTTCACTCCAGTACTACCTGAGGAACTTACAAAGACCAAGTCTCTTGACAAAAGAAAGGGACGTTCATCAGGCTTCAAATTAATCTTAAATGCCACCAATATTTTATGATCCCTTTCTTCATTTTCATAGATATTTTGATGATTATTGTGTTTTTTACAAATTGATTCTTCTTGAAACTCCAAGGCCATGTCCTCCAGCTCGAAATCGCTCCATTTCTGATTCCCAACAAAATCGTAAGCTATTACGTGCGAGCAGGAATCAAAAGACAAAACATAGCAAATTTTGGATTCCACATTGTATAGGAAAAGGATGATGACTTTAAATTAAATGCTTGTGGGTAAAAGAGGTGGAGAGAAAACACAGAGAATACTAAAAAGCATGCATTTTGCAATAGATTTTTTATGTCATACAGAGAATAATTCAAACAAGAATAATAGACAGTCCATAAACTTTCAACTTCAATTTTCAGATCATTATATCGTGTCACTAATATAATCTATGGTACTATATAGTATTGTTAGGTTCATTATCTCTACCCTTCTTTCCCACATGGCGCTTTAAATTTCGATTTCTGCAGTTCAATGTAGGCAAATGTATAGAAACGGAAAGAACTTTACATTAAACTTTCCAAATGTACAAGTAAACGGTTACAGAAATTAACAATATGTCAGTTGCACCAAACCTTTTTGTTTTTATGGAAATCGTTTACATAACTTGTGTGTCGAAAAACTAGCTAAATAGAGATACTTTCTAGAAGGGCATTGTCCATATATATGCATACCTCATGATAGTACTGTTCAGCATATAGCAGAGCAGCAAAGTAATCCTTGTATGTCCAGCGAGACAAAGGCTCATTAAGAACTTCAGGCACAATGCCATTCTCAATACAATCTCTTATATCTTCGGGAATCAAGTGCAAAGGTAAAGAATTATTGTCTTCAAGCCATTCACAATCATCACACTCTTCTAAAATTCTTCCTTTTGCAGAAACTTTAGATGGAGTATGGTCAAAAGGTGGAGGGAGCTTCTTGGAAGATGGATTCGAAGAACTTGACGGGGATGATAAGGATGAAGAACTAGTAGGACTAAGAGGCGAACACTTAGGAACCATTCGCGATGAAGGCAATGAATCTTTCTTTACGCAAACTTGATTCGACTTACCTTGTTGGTTTTTGTTTTCAGTGGTTATTTTGGACCGAGTATACTTATGGTGTGGAAGGAGCTTCTGGAAAGAAATGTTTGGTGAAGATTGAGGTGGAGATGGCTTAGTTGAAACTTGAGGTGATGACTTGGATGAAGATGGAGCTAAGGGATTGGCTAATAAGGGGGATGGACTAAGTTGAGCGGGTTCGGATGAGGTGGATTTGTTTGGATGAAGTGGATATGGATTGATTGGATGGAGTAATTGATTCGTCAATGGTGTCGAAGATTGCGAGAGCGAAGATTTCGAAGATGAACTAAAAGAGGAAGATTGAAGGGGCTTAAGGGATAATGAAGATTGAGGTAGATTAGATGAAGTGGTTGAGGCTTTGAGGGTTGATTTAAAATGATTAGTTGATTCTTGGGGCACTTTAGTTGTAGATATTGAAGATGTGAGAAGTGGGTTTCCTAACACTGGAGATGGGCTTATTTGTGATGATTTTGATGAGGATATTGCAGGCTGAAGAGATGATGAAGATGGAGTACTAGAAGAGGAAGATTCGGGTTGTCTAAATGAAGATTGTGATGAAGATCTAATTACAGAAGAAGATTGATCACATAGTTTAGATAATGCTGCTGATGATGATGATGATGATGATGTTTTGGATTCAAGATATGAAGAAGATTGAGATGGATTGATTGAATTATTGTGTGAAGAACCAGTAGAGAGATCTGGGACTTTGGAATTATGAGACACTTGAATTTCTTTCTTCAATTTTGTCCGTGAATGCAAATTATGGTGAAAATATTGTGATTTATCTTCTTGGTTGCTGTGATTATTAGATGGAGTAGGAGAGCTACTCCTAACATAATGGTTTATGTTTGCTCTTCTGTAGTAACTGTAATAACGGTCATAATCCTCATCATCTCCAACGTGGCAACAGAAAAGGAACCTCAAGAAGCCAAAGCGTGAGAACCCCATATTGTCTTTTGCTGAATCATTTGTACAAAAACAAATTAAAGACTTGTAAAAGATATGTTCTCTTAGCAAAATAAATAAATAACTCTAACCAAGACAAAATAGTGATGTATAAGCAGAAAATTTGAATTATTTTTTGGCCAAAAAAAAAAAACAGAGAATATATATGAAAGATCAAGTTAAGATTGGAAGAAAGCAATGAACACTTAATTCAGTTTTTCTCTTCAAGCTTTCTCCACAAAGAAATTAACGAGACAAACAAATTAAATCATGATTCTAGCTTTACTTTTGTTTATGAATCCTACCTTTTTCTTTCTTTGCTTAGCAACCAAACGAGGCTGACGACATGCACATGATATTGAAGCAGAGAAAGGAAGTAATCTTCAAAATTTACGTCCGTTCTGGTAAACACCAGCCAAAAGCTTGAATATAGGAAAAGAAAAATAATAATAATAAAAGTAGAAGTTAGGGAGAAGAAGAAGAAGAAGAAGAGTGCATTGCTTTCGACTTTGGCGGTGATCAAGTCCATTGAATGGTTTATGGTTTGTGAGAGAAAGTAAAAGGATAAAGCATGCTCACAAAAGCAGAATACAGCTTCGACCTTAAGTATTGCTTTTCAGAGTGAATGTACTGTACTAATTGTCCTAATTAATTATGATAAATTATCTGTAACACCCATTTTTCTAAGTGACAAAATTCTTAAAAATAAACGTTAAGGATTAATTTGAATAATATTATGGTATTATAATTAATTAATATTAATATCACGTTGAGTTATATTTTATAAGTGAACGTGATGAGGACTCGAGGTGTTAAAAATAAGTTCATGTCATTTTATAGAAATTATATGTGTTCATTTTTTTACTTATGATTTGATAAATGTATATATGTTCATGATGTGACGTACTTCATGTTATAATGCATAGAATTAAGTGTCTTAAGAAAATTCTAAGTTTTTTTTTTATTTTTTTATTTTTAAACAAAAGAACTGTTTTCATGACATTAATTTTTAGCTCTATTTTGGACCTTTAAAATTATGAAATTATTCCATTAGTTTATACAAAGCTGTAGAGCTTTTCATAAGCTTTCCAATGCCTTCTCATTTGCATAAATCGGACATCGGAGTAAGAAGATGTGGCCAGTATACCATCCGGATATCCAGCAGTCTCCGACCAGGTTACTCCACGCGAACAAGAATGAAAATTCTAGAAGTTGACCTAACTCTTTTATTTGCCTTCCACACGATTTTACACCCTAATGACAGCCATTCCCCTAGTTAAGGGGTGATTTAATCACAAAATTAATCCCCAATTAATATCAAATTAATCTCTTTTAATTTTATATGATTTATGAGCTAATAAACATTTTTAAGCTCTTACTCTCTCTTCCCCTCTTTCTTCTTCTTTCTTTCACGTCCAAGAACACCACAATAGAGAGCCTCCAAGACCAGCCATTAAACCTCCATTATTTTAACCCCTTTTTGTAAACCTTTGGTTCTTCTAAGCCACAATCAAGAAGATTTCAAGGTATGTTCCATCTCTAATTTACTATTCATGGTTATTTGGTGTTGGGTGTTGGTTTAAGGAGCTGATGAATAATTTTCTTTGGTTGAAGATTGAGGGATGATATATGTGATTTAGGTGAGGTTTTAATGTTCATGGCCGTATGTTTTATTTTGGGATAATCATGTATGACACAGTTATTGTTTTGGTTATTTTGGGTGTTTTGGTGTCTTCATAATTTGATAATCTAGAGATGCATGTTAGGAATTATGTTATTTTCTTATATTGTTGTTTCCTTTTTGTGTTATAAATTATGATTTCATAGAAACATGAGTTAGCATATTATTTTTGGATTCGAGTTGCAAGATATGTGAATTTTGATGGTCATATTGATGTTTCTAGTTCGCTTTGCCATGAGAATTTTTATAGAATGTGTAATTTGAATGTTTTAGGACCATGTCTTAGGACTGGTTAAAGTATACATATGGTTGGAATTGATTTTATCTTTAATGAATTTATTTTGGTATTTTTGGAGTTTACTCTGCTGGAATTTTCCAGCTAATATGATCTGAGTTTAAACAGTATTTGAGGGACCAAAAAAACTCCGTTTTTAACAAATAAGGTATCATTGGAAAGATCTTGATATCTATTTTTATTTGGCATCAATTTCAGATCGTTTCGAGTATTTGATGATTTGTTATGAATTTTTAAAGAGATAAAGATCAGGCTGTCAATTTTTGTAAAATTTAGAAAATTGGTGTAATTATTAGGATTTTTTATGTCTTGATGTTAATGAATGGTGATAATGGTATATTAGATGTTGTTTTAACATGATCAATGTATTTAATGAGTTATTAAGGCTTTTTAGTAATCTTATTTATGATTTATGGCATGAACGGTTTTAGAGGCGAGCACCTGATGACCTCATTCATCGCGTTACTGTTGTGAAATTTTAAAAAGTTAAGTAAGGTGCTCATGTAAGTGCACTCTCACCTGCAACATGAATTGAAAATTTGAGAAGTATATGATTTTGATGTTTATGATGATGTTATGACACCTTTACTATTTCTCATATGATGACGTTTTGAAGAAAAATGTATATATGTATTTTTATGTTTTTAAATGGCGTTGTACACCTTTGATGGTGACCGGTGAGCAGTCTTATTGTCACGGTTGGTATGAGATTTGCTGTCCCATGCTTTCCGTGACTAGCGCACTATGATGGTATAACGTCGGGCCCAATATATGATGGATTTTAAAGTTTAAAATATGTTCAAAAATAATTATTCTCATGATGACATTTATTGTTGATGAATAAAAATGTTTATTTACATTTGTGAGAATTAAGTGTCTTACTAAGCCCTTGCTTATATAAGTTATTTCATATTGCAGACAATCTAAAGGGTAAGATGTAGCCATGGAGAATATTAGAGCGGATGCGAGCTATGCATAATAGGAAAACGGGAGAAACAATCATGGGATGAAAGTGCTTAATGTTAAGCACAGTTTTTAGTTTTATTTTTATTGTTTTAGAACTTTGGTTTATAGTGGTTTTGATTTGAAGAATATTTTAGACTTTTTTTTAAGTATATTTCACGGTATGAATTTTAATAAATGAGTTGAACCTAAATAACTTTTTTTTTTGATGAGGTTAAAATTTTTAGAGTTAAAATATGAAAAAAAAACCTAGGCTTTTCTTTAAGTCATTCAAAATAAAGTGTTTCGAGCTTAACTATTTTCCGCATTCTTTAAGAGGTAAATGTTTGAAAGTTAAGATAACTGTGACGATCTGTGAGGGGTCGTTACATTATCATTCCGTTGCCTTATAATTTATGGTAAAGTCTTCGATCCGGTATCGGATTGGACCGTCACATGTATATTTCATAGGTGTTTAGACAAATTATAAGTGTCGTCCCACATTATACATGTTTTAAAACAAATATACATATTTTAAGAGAAAATATATATATGTTTAAAAGAAATATACATGTGCCGTTCCGATCCTGTACCGGATTGGAGACAATTCCATAATTTATTACTTACCTCCATATTTTAATAATTTCATTGGAGTACTTTGTTGTTCAAACAAGTACGGATTTCCTTTTTTTCTTTTTTCTTTTTTCTTTTTTTTTTTTTTGCTAATTCAATATGTTCTCTGAATTTTGAGTTCATGTCATTCCCTTAAGTGCATTTCTTACTTAAAAATATATATGTAAAAGGATAAAGCATGCTTTCGACTTTGGCGGTGATCAAGTCCATTGAATGGTTTGTGAGAGAAAGTAAAAGGATAAAGCATGCTCACAAAAGCAGAATACAGCTTCGACCTTAAGTATTGCTTTTCAGAGTGAATGTACTGTACTAATTGTTCTAATTAATTATGATAAATTATCATTCTGTTGCCTTATAATTTATGCTAAAGTTTTTAATTCGGTACCAGATTAGATTGACACATGTATATTTTTTTTAAATATATATATATATATATTTTCTCTTAAAATATGTATATTTCTTTTAAAAATATGTATATAGATATTTAAATAAATTATAAGTGTCTCCTCACATTATACATGTTTTAAAAGAAAATATACATATTTTAAGAGAAAATATACATTCTTAAAATATATATATATATATGTCGTTTCAATCCAGTACTGAATTTGGGACAATTCCATAATTTATTGCGCATATTTTAATAATTTCATTGGAGTACTTTGTTGTTCAAACAAGTATGGATTACCTTTTTTTTCTTTTTTTTTTCTTTTTTTTTTTGCTAATTCAATATGTTCTCTGAATTTTGAATTCATATCTTTCCCTTAAGTGCATATCTTACTTAAAAATACTCCTGATTTATAATAATAACAAAACAATGATGTGACACTATTTATACTTTTATAAATGCCTTTTGAACAATAAATTTTAAGTGAACTTGCATTTATATATTTGATTTTTTATCTCCTCGTCCCCTAATTTTTTAAGAGATCATGGGCAAGTTAATCCAACCAATAGTTAATCAAGAATTTTATGAAGTTATATTAATTTAGGAGTGTTATTAACCACTTTACATATTTCTAGTGTGTAGAGGTCAGATTCTACAATTAAATTTATTAAGGGCCAATGGCCGCTTCCAGAAGTCAATTGTATTGGTGAGTCAATTCGGGTCGATTTGAGTCAATATATTGCTAGAATGAGAATGTAAAGTGCTGAAAAATAAATTCATACGGATGTATAGTGGTTCCCCTGATAATCTCAGGATACGTCCACTCTAGGGTCTCGAGGGTTTCACTATGTAATGAAATTAGTACAATTACAATGCTTTTGTGAGAATTGGAGAAGAAGGAGGAGAGAGAGTCTGAGCGTAATATGAGGAATATGAAATGTCTTGGTCATGATTCTCATCCCCTATTTATAAGAGATGACCTTCTAGTTTCCTTTTCTATCAGAATGGATAGTTTTCATTTTCATCCCGTTGACTTTCCCTTTCCTTGTTTACATATTGGCTTCTTGGGATATTTCCTCTTTATTATTGATCCGATATTTTAATGTAGGATTTGGCCAAGACAATTTTCGTGGCCTCCAAGGAATCTCCTTCCTTTGGTAGTAACAATTGCTGTACTGTTATCACAGTACAAACTCAATGACTTATCCACACTAGGAGCTACCTCAAGATCCATCAGATTCTTGTGGAGCCACGCTGCTTCTTTCGAAGCACCACTAGCTGCCACATACTCGGATGGACGCTTCCATCGTTTAGTCAGTAATGCAAGTTTGCTTGACACTCCTCTAAACGATAGCACCACCTCTCAAAATAAAGACAGATCCCGAAGTCGATTTTCTCGAATCCAAATAGGATTGAAAATCTGAGTCCATATATCCTAAAGGTATCAGATCATCCCCGGAAAATACCAGCATATGATTCCTAGTCCTCCTAAGGTACTTGAATATATGCTTAACTGCTACACAGTGGTTAGGTCCTGGATTTGACGGATATAACCTACAATCCCGATCACATGGTAAATGTATGGTCGTGTGTAAAGCATTGTATACATGAGGCTACCAACCGCCCATTGAGTAGAATGTCATCAACATATAACAGTAGAAAAACCACTTTCCTGTCTTGAATATGCTTATAAAGGCAAGGTTCATCAATATTCAGTTGGGATCCATAAGTCTTGACCACATGGTCAAATATTTTATTCCAAGAATGGGAAGCTTTCTTTAGTCCATAAATGGATTTGAGCAACTTGCAAATTTTACCCTCTTCAAAGCCCTCTGGTTGTACAATATAGATATTTTTCTCAAGATGGCCGTTCAAGAACGTCGTCTTGACATCTATTTGCCAGATCTCATAGTCGAGAACAACCGCAATGGATAAGAGAATGCGGATGGACTTAAGCATGGCTACAAGTGAAAAGATTTCCTCGTAATCAATTTCATCCTTTTGCGTGTATCCCTTAGCTGTCAGTCTAGCCTTATAGGTTTCGACCTTTCCTTCTGCATTTCTCTTTCTCTTGTAGACTTATTTACACCCAATGGGCTTAATCCCATCAGGAAGATCTACAAGTTCCTAGACTTGATTAGAATCCATAGATTATATCTCAATTTTCATGGCTCCAGTCCAGAGTTTTGCATCAATATCCTCCATAGATTCTTTATAAGTATAAGGATCCATGTCATATTCTAAAGATTCTACCAAAAAGTTTTCCCCATTAGCCATGAATCTATCAGGTTCACACCTAATCCTCCCACTATGCCGAAGCTCCCTAGGTTGTTGTTGGGTTTCCTTTTCTACTTTGATTGGTTTGGTTTCTAAAGGAACTGTCGGTACGATATGAGGCTTAAAGTCGTTCATGTAACTTTCCTCAAGGAATGTTGAATTCGTTGAAACCACGACTTTATTTTTCTTAGGGTTTTAGAAATAACCAGCTTTTGTCCTTCTCGGATAACCCACAAAAATGTACACTTCCGAACTTGCTTCCAACTTGTTTGCTTCCTTGTCCAGGACATGTGCAGGACATCCCCATATGCGAATATGGTTCAAGGATGTCTTCTTGCCCATCCACAACTCATGAGAAGTTTTAGGAACTGACTTTGTTGGCACATTAGAAAAAAGAAATGGATCTTGAAACAGTCAGATCAAAGGTTTGGGTCACTCCCCTGACTCCTCATGATCACCTGCACTTAGTACGTGCACAGGACCAACAGTAAGAAATGGATATATTATAAATAAGAATAAATGGATCATCCATAATAAAGCATAAATAGAAAACCCATAATGAAGAGTAAATGGCCATGCATTTACATTTATAATGCTATGTTTTGAGAATGATTTTGTGAGGAATATTTGTACTTGCTAAACTTTAGCTCATAAAGTTTGTTCATGCTGTAGGTAAATTACCTACAACTCATTATAAATTACATTTATAATGCTATGTTTTGATAATATTCTTTTCCGCATCAAGTCACGTTTTAGTAACGGCTTGAAAAGCCAAGTCATTGTAGAATCAGATTGTAGAGGTCAGATTTTACAATTAAATTTATTTAGAGGGCCAATGGTTGCTCTCGGGAGTCGATCGCATTGGTGAGTCAATTCGGGCTGATTTGAGTAGATATATCTCTAGAACGAGAATGTAAAGTGCTGGAAAATAAATTGACACACGGATGTATAGTGGTTTGCCTGATAATCTTAGGGTATGTCCAATATAGGGTCTCGGGGGTTTCACTATGTAATGAAAATAGTACAATTACAATGCTTTTATGAGAATTGGAAAAGAAGGAGGAGAGAGAGTCTGAGTGTAATATGAGGAATCTAGAATGTCGTGGTCGTGATTATCATCCCCTATTTATAGGAGATGGCTTTCTAGTTTTATTTTCTCTCATATTAGACAGTTTCCATTTTCCTTTGGTTGACTTTCCCTTTCTTTGTTTCTATATTAGCTTCTTGAGATATTTCCTCTTTACTATTAATCTGATTTTACCCTTTAATGTATGATTTGGCTGAGATAATCTTCATGGCCTCCAAGGAATCTCCTTTCTTAAATATCGACGGTGGTCTCTACACTCATCCTGTCATCAGTCTTTTCTAGTCGTCTTGAGTCGATCTGGTCTCCAGTTGATTTCAGTCAATTCGAGTTAACCTTTCTCTCCAAATGTTGTCCACGTGTACAATGATGATTGTGGTGTTGATTTTGACCCTAACATGGTGTAGAATGTACACTTTTTAAAATTGGAGGGGAATATTGAATACTAAAATATTAGAATACTAAAATATTATCTACTGCTTAAAGTTATTAAAAGAAAAAAAATATGGGAGTTTCTTTGGTATATCAGCCCTTCCGGTAATGTCAGTTTCTGACTATTAGATACGGTCAAAATCACATCATATTGAAAACGTATGCAGAACAAACTGTTTCAGATATATTTTTTATGACTGGAAAATAGAGAACTACTATCAGTTCATTTTTTTCTGGTCCTCAAATAGAAACTCCCTAAAAATATTTGCTAAAGGAAAAGGTTTTCATGGTTCTCTCTTTATTTTTTAATTTTTTATTTTTCCTTTTGAAAGGACAAAAAAGAAAATTTGTCTTAAAAGCCAGTGTAAGGTATTAGGTGATCTTACTACAAAATATTCTTTCTAGAGAGCTTCTCTAATAGGACTGAAAAAATAAATTATAAGGAGTTTTTTGTTTTTCAGCCTTCAATTATATATAAATTGTTGTCTGTTTTGTATACTTTTTTAATCTGATGTGATTTTAAACTGTTTTAATAATTAAAAACTTACCCTACCAATAGATTGATATACCGGAGAAAGTCCCTTCTTCCTAGCAAGATTAGTGGAAAAAGAATATATAATTTGATAGTTTCTCAAATTGTTGTTGGTATGTTGCCACGTCATCACATTAGTCCTAATAATAGTTAAAGAAAATGCTTAGAGACACACTGATGTTAATTAATGTTTCGACCAAAAGCAATAAAAATCTACCCTAAGACTTGTTGACGACTCGGAAAATTAAGGAGTTGTTCTTTTAGAGTGTGACTTGAGTGTAATTTTTGAGTTAAATTTGAGTTATAACTTAAGTTGAAGTTGTAACTTGAATAAAGTTGAATAAAGTTGGAACTTAAAATAACGTGAACTTAAATAAAATTGTAACTTGAATTTAAATTTTTTCGGAGTTTTGTTGTAAAAAAACAACCCTTAAGAAGTCCAATAAAATATCGGAACCAGCATGTCACTTTTGGAGAAATGAATATTTTTTGGCCATGTAATTATTTTGACGTGGGCCTCTACCCTTCACATCAACGTTCCTTAACTGTAATTCAGTCAACTTCTAATGTAAATTGATTGAGAAGAAAACATGAAAAATCTCAACTATAGATTAAATTAATATGTTTTAGGGAATCTGTACGGTGAGCAAGCTATTATGCTCAACTAGAAAGAATTTTTGGTTTTGATTATTGGATTAGTTTTTAACAGTTAGATATCCACATTAAAAATATAGAGCACGCGTTATAAAATTGCTCATACTGCAGATCAAACTCTTAAAAAACTAAGCTAATAGTTAAAACACAATTCCTACCATGCTCCATTTTAATCTTAATCCCTGATTTTTTTTTTTCACCAACAAAAGCCTCGCAATTAGTAGCAGTGCAATAAAGAAAAGCTTAGAGAGACTTATCAATATAATAAATAAATAAATAAATAAAGTTTGGAGAGGTTCCCATCAACACTAGCAGCACCGCCACCCTCCTCGTTGGCATTCCACCCTCAAGGTGGCTCCATCGTGGCACGAGTCTTGTCACGGCCTGTTCGTTAAGCCCATCCCTTGGCATAACAGACCCCAAACACGTTGAGCCTAGCATCTAGCTATGAACACCCTTTATTGAACAATATTGTTGACGGTGAAAATTTGTCTACTCAGAATCTACCTGACCATAGATCACTCACGCTTAGAACAGTGAATACAAATTGAGGAAAAGTAAATCAACACGAGAATTTATAAAGGTTCGGCTGGTGTAATGCTTACGTTCTCTTTGGAGCTCTAGGATATTTAATATTTCCCTTAAAGAATACAAAATGACCTAGGATTCTCTTCAGTATAATTTAATTCGCAAGTCCTAGATGAAGCGTGTATGCCTTTATAGTCCTAGAGGTCGGGACTTGTTATTTCCTCAGCCATGGTGCAATAAAATATATTTCGTTTTTTACAAAGATTTTGACAATGAATTGAAAGTAAACTTGAATGTTTTGATAACTCTGCAAATTAACTATGTGACATTGAACTTGAATCATAAAGTCAAGTGTGATAATACCTGGACCACAAGGGTAATTGTTGCATTGTATAAAACATGGATCACAGGGATTAAGAGTGGTGCTGTATATAGACATCTATCATTAAGCTTAAATGTGGTACTAGTACACACACACACACACACACACACACACACACATATATATATATATATATACACACACAAACATATATATATATATATCACATAATATTGCCGTACATGTAAAGAACCATTGGTGTGGCAACATGGATTTGTAGGTAGCTGTCATATGGGAGGCATTCTCAAATAACAGTGCTCTTACTATTAACCTGCTCTCACTTAGAGGCAATACAGGCTTCAGTCACCAAATTATGAAAATACATGTGAAGCAGTGAATATTACTGTGAATTTGACCGACTCCATTGGAACGGTGTAGGCAAATAGACTAACACTTCGTTCATTTTACTGATATGAATTTAGAATTCGAGTTTTACTACAGTAAAAAACTCTCAGAAACAGTCATATATAACTCGAATTAACAAACTAAACAGGTTCTTATAATAAGGTGTCCGAGCCCCCAATATAACAATAAATAAATAAATATCCTCTAAGCAAACTCATATAGAAGAAATTATTTAGTTTGTCTATTTGCTCCCATTTAATCCAAGAAAATTCAAGGTTTGAGATCATGAAATCAGCAAACTTCCTTTACATGCATTGTTTAACTGGCAGAGTCAAGCACTGGACACCGCATAGAGCAAGGATGAACAAACAAAATGCCAAATAAAAAATAGCAAACCATAATATCAGCATAGTAATTACGCAAGATTCAAGAGAATCACAAAAGACAGGCCTCTCGATTCAAGTCCAACTGAGTGATGAAACTCGGGCTGAGGCTATGATATGGACTAAACTTGCGCAGTCTCTCGAAATACGAGGTCTTCAATCCTTTTCTTCTACCAATGTCGGATCTTACCCAACCTGGAGAAGAACCCACTTCACCGGTTACAACAACAACTGTATTTTTATCAGCAAAGTTAGCCAAAGGCACCATTGCCTCTGGCTCAATGGCAAAAGAAGCATCCACCATGAATATATGGCTGAAGTGTCCAACGGGCAGGCCTTCATTGTGAAGACGAAAACAGCTCACGAAGGTTGAGAAGATCACCTTGAATTCACGAAGTGTCTCAAGTGGTGGACAGATGAAACACTCCTCTTCGTAAAGAGATGAGGAGAGGATGTCTGCAGGCACATCTTCTTTCTCTCTGAATGCAGCATTGGCTCGAAACATTTGCGACTTGGGAATTGTTTTCTTTAGACCTCGCATTAGGACATCACAAGCGCTGTTTGAATGAGAACAGATGAGAATTCGATAATGTGGGGAGGTTTTGAGGGTTTGTATCACTGCTTCTCGGATGACCACTCCGGTTCTCGATGGTACTCTTAAGTGTGATGCCGCTTTAGCTTCAGAGGCACACATTGGACCGGCTATGAGATAAGGCGGTGAGCTCTGAATGCTTGAAATCTGACGAACAGTCGAGGATATTTCTGCATCGAGTCTGCAAGTGGTTGAAGTGGGAGCTGGTGTGGTGATGCTACTATTCCGGGATACACAACTTGGAAAGAGGAAATTATCGAATAGAGAATCCGACACAGAATTGAGCGCTTGGTGGGCTCTTTTCAGAGAGACTCTGTTGAATGAGAAACTGATATCATATCTGCGACTCGGATAATGCTGAGAATGAAAGTCGTCATCGAACTTAACTAATAAAAGATTACTATTCACCACACGATGGATTATGCCCTGCGGGAGACGTTTAGGAAGATTGTAACATTAGCAATAGAGAGTATAAAGAGATAAAATGTCTAATTATTAACACATACAGGCTGATCTTTGATTTGTAATGCTAGTTAAGCATTTTTAGGGATTGAGATGCAAGAAGAATTTAGTCCAACTAAAAAGTGAATTTTGGAATTGTATTCTACATGCAAGATTGTTCGTGTAGTTCTCTTGCATTATGCTGCTATATAAATGACTCTATTTGATGACTGTATCAGATAATCCATTATGCGTCACCCATAGAGTAACAAGTTCATGGTTCTGTTTATTTACAACGATTTTGTTCAAAAATAATTGAACAAACACAATAGTCTTATGATTGAACCAATGCATAAAGTTGCAGACTCACATATGGATTGCGCTTGCTCACTAAGTACAAAAGAATTATTTTTGTGCAAATACTTGGCTACTCCCAGATACATAATAATTGTTCTCAAGCTGTATTTGTATAAAAAAATAAAAATAAAAAAATAAGAAAAACATATATTGAAAGCAAAATAATTACTGGTTGTGTGACATTCCATAAGTTCACTCATTGGACTCTCAAATTTGATGATCAAGTTGTTGCTGTATTGAATGGTGTGCCTATTTACTTAGCAGAAGCCATGATAATGTAGTTTGTAACACAAATGTATTGAACTTCATGGATTACCTTACCAAAATATGCTTAAATACAGACTCAAAGTTGTTTTTTTCTTTCATGGCTAAGTCGAAGATACGTTGTAAAGAACTATGTCATTTCTTTGAAACTTCAAATTAAAGAACGAAGGATTAGTTAAAAAAGCTAACCTTGTAATATAAAATCAGCAGTGCTTTTAAAATTCTCTTCATAAACACAATGATTTGCAGTTACCTACTCCAGTATATGGTAGCTCAAGTTGAGGCAGTTTACCTGAAAGGGTTCATCTTCACTACCCGAAGGTCGTGCATAAGCCAAATCCCTTGACAAAAGAAATGGTCGTCTCTCACGAATATCATCGATCTTGAATGCCACAAAGATCGTATCATCCTTCTCTTCATTTTGTTCGACACCTTTTCGCTTGTCTAATTTCTTATAGCCTGCTGCTTTATGCAACTCCAATGTCACATTCACGAGTTTATATTTGCTCCATTTCTAATTCAAACAAAAACTAAAATAAATAACTTTTGCATGTTAGAATTAAGTAGCACATTATTGATTAATAGACAGTGCCTCGTCTATTGAAAATTCGGCATAAATTATTGGTCATTGGAGAAAGCAAAAGGAAAAATAATAAAAACCATATCAAGTTATGTACATTACACAACAAATTGGTCCAAACAAGGATACAAAATACCTCTAAAATCATTTAATCAATCCTTTAACTTCATTTGAATTCGTCATCTGTTGTATCATAGTGATCTGATGTGTGTTTCTTTGGGTGTATTAAAGGTCGTCCATTACTGCGGTGGTGACACATTAATTTTCATCTTCAATGTCAGGTATTCAAAGCAATACGACATTTTTAATGCTTTTCAACCTAAATAATTCTCCACTAAAACAGGACAGACACTAATTAAACACCTAATATCTTTCACTGAATAACCAAGTCCAAGTGGAATTAGTAGCGACCCTAATTGTCCTTCAAGTGTACCTTTGAAGCAATACACTTGAGCAATAAAAAAGGGAAAACTAAAGCATACCTCATAATAGTATTCCTCAGCATATAACAGAATTGAAAAGAAATCCTTGTACGTAGAGGGAGAAACGGGCTTCTTCAGAACATCCGGTACAATATCTTTCTTGATCAATTCCTTGACATTATCAGGAATTAAATACAAAGGTAATGTATCTGTTGGGAATGATTTCCTAAAAACATGAGATGTAATAAATGATATTATTATTTATATAATAAAAGAGAAATTTCATTATTTATGTGTCTGTATTATTGAATACTTTATGAAATTTCATCGGTGCTATATACACGTTTCCGTATAGAAAATTATTTTCAAAACCCTCAACCAACAAATAATTTGCCTACCCTTGCTGATGTGACACCATTGTAAGAACGGGCTTCAGGATCGGACGCTGCTTCTGGGACGGCGAGTCAGATCGAGAAGAAGAAGGAGAATCCATCAAGGACTCAGGTGTCTTATACAAAGTTGAAGGCTTTACAGGCTTTGGTGGGGTTGGAGATGAACTAACAAAAGAAGATTGTGGTAGTTTAGATGAAGATGTTCGGGTTTGAGGGGATGATGCGGGTTGAGGTGGTCTAGAAGGTGAGGGTATTTGTGTCTGTGATCTTCGTAAAAGCGCGGAAAGCAGTTCAGCTCGTAGAACCTGCCTTGCTTCATTATCATTTTGCAATGATCTTTGACTCTGAATATGAGAAGATCTGTGATTCGCGGTATTATTGCGCGGAACCGAAGCGGGAGAAGGACTATGACTAACAACAATGGTGTAATCCGAATGAGAACTTGTTTTTCTGAAAAGGTTTCTGATGGTATGAGATAGGCTTGTCCTAGTATCACCTAAATCTACATCTACATAATAAGAATCATCAATCTCATCTTGGCAGCAGAGAAAACATCTCAGGAAACTAAGGCACGAAGGATCCATATGTGTTGTAATTGCTGCGATTCGAAAGAGAATGACAAAGAAAGAAAAGGGTTTTAGTCTCTTTTCATGTTTGTTTGGTTTCCAAGAAAATAACTAAGAAAGAGATCAGTTGGACAGAATTTCACAGAAATAGTAAAGTTAGCCCAATAATAAAATCTGACCCCCGTTTTCCCCTCTATATCTCAACATTAACACACATATAAACGAATAAATAAAGCAGAGAAATGATCTTTTAGTGAGAATGTGATAAAAAAATAAAAATAATCAGCAAAGAAAAAGCTGAAAAATAAACCGAAAATTGAGTAAAAAGAAGAACAGAAGTGGAAATCACCTGAACCCCAACAGTGGTGGGAATTTATGGATGATCCGATGAGCGATCAGTCAGAGGAAATGAATATAATAAAATAGATATAAGATTACGAGGATTCCAGGGTTTTTTTTTTTTTTTTTGGAAAATATAAGAGGATTCCAGTTTAGTTTTCCAGTTCCAACAAGGAAATGACAAATTCAAGCTCGTTTCGCTTGCAGTGCAGCAAAATATATCCATTTTACTTTGGCCAATCAGCGAATCGATTCCCCTTGCTCGTTATGGCCCCACTTTAAGGGTGAGACGACTTTTCGACAACTTTAATAATAAGATTCCGTTTACTTTATTAATTTAATATTAAAATTTAAATTTTGTTACAATAAAAAATTCTTAAAAATAATTATATTTAATTTTTTTATTATAATAAAAAGTATTCATATAAAGTTATATTTTAACTCAAATCAGTAAATTAAACAGGCACTAAAATTTACATTCTCATCCATGTGGCATGGCTGGAGTCGCATGCAATCTCACAAATAGTACCTCACGTTTAGCCTTAATTTCACTTTAGTTTTTAACTTTTTAAACATTAAACAGTTAGATCCCATTTATTTTACCGATTTGAATGTGAAATTTAAATTTTGATACAGTAAAAAACTCTTAAAAACAGTCACATTTAACTTTTTTACTACAATAAAAATCTCTCATATAAGTCACATCTCAACTTGAATTAAAAACTCGAATCAGCGAACTAAACGGACTCTTAGTCTATAAGTTTCTATTTCGTTTTAGTTTGGTCATTTTATTAGTTTGGTGTTAAATAATTGATGAAATCTGTAGAAATTATGGATTAAAATTGAAAACATAAAAGTTTAGGAACTAAAAAAATACAAAAAAATAATAATAATAAAAGTTAATTTTCACGGATAGACCTAAAATTCTAGTTATTTTTAATTTTTGACTCTAATTTACACATATTCTATCAAATTTAACGCCTAGTTGATGAAAATGACCGAAACTAAAACAAAATAAAATCTCATAGACCATTTGTACGATATTAAATAATCAATGACTAAAGTGAGATTGGGTGTAAATCTCACAACCATTTGTAAAATAAACCATAGATATTATGATTATAATCTATGATTCAAACATAAAGAGTGCACCAAAATTTAGGGTGAGATAAGATGTACGTAATTAAATGAAATTTTAAAAATAAAAACAATAAAAAAAGAGATTTTTATCGTCGGCAGGAAAAAAAACTACCAATATGTAGAGATGCAACAATGGGTCGGGGCTCGTGGGCCGCCCCAGGCCCATCCAGACACAGTGACGGACCCGGCCGGCACGGCCTGTCACTGTTCAAGGGACGACCCAGCCCATAAATATTGATGGGTTAGGCTGGGCCAACATATATCAGCCCATGAGCTGGGCCGGCCCGGCCCATGAAAAATCATGGGCCAGGCCAGGCTTGGGTCGGCCCGTCTAGGCCCATGATAGGCCAGCCCATCCCCGCCTGTCTAGGCCCATAATGGGCCGGTCCAGCCGAGCCCATCTAGGCCCATAATATCTTCATGTTTTTTTTTTCTTTTTTTAGTAATTTTGTAAACATCTTATGTATAATTATCCTAATTATACTTTTTTTCCTTACTAAAGTTTTGTCCCACTAGGTTTTCCTTAAAAAGGTTCTTATTTAATAAGGTAATCGTAAATAAAATATCCCTTTTCATATTTCCATTGACTCTTCAAACTTATATATTTGTTAACTTGTTTAAAAATTCAAAAATAAAAATTAAAAAATTAAAAATTACATGCTTAGGTGGGCTGACCCATCTAAACCCATGATGGGCCAAGATGGGCCTTGAGTGGGCACCACTCAAGGCCCATGGCACGGCCCATCTTGGCCCGCGGCATGGCCCAGCCTAGCCTACGTAAAAATGGATCGTGGTGTGGGCTGGACCAAGGTCATTCTTATACGGGCCGACCTGGCCCGGCCTACAAAATTTGTGGGCTGAATCGGCCCGGTCCGTAACCCGTGTGGGCCTAAGGAGAATGGGCCGGGCCGGCCCGTTCTTGCATCTCTACCAACATGTCTTTGTTTTATAACCTATCAGATATGTATAAAAATTTGTATGTTTCACACACTTTTTTCTTCACTCGATTTCTTGCGGCTCTTGAACTCTATGAATATTTGACTTAAAGTATACCAAGTTAATCCCATTTAAGATGAAAATGTCAACGTCCATAGGGTTATCGAGGTTTTGGTTTATAGATAATATCGACAAAAATACCAATGTCGATAGATATTCTGAAAAAAAATATATATATATTTGAAGAAAACCTTAAAATTTGCTGTAAAAGTGAACAAAATATTAAAATGATCAATATTATTTAATTTGAACTAATTTAATAAGAAAAATAATACATATTTTATGAGAATATGATAACTATGTCGCATAGTATAATAGGAAATTGTCATAAAAATATATATGGATTACGATTCCAATATGATTTTTCATACTCATTACAAAGAGGTATAATAATCTAATAGAGTATATAAAATTAATTACTAAACATAATAAAATACATACAAATTCCAATAGTTTTTAATATCGAAACTAGTTTTTAGAAGGTTGGAAAGCATTAAGTAGGTTCTAATTTTGATCTAAACAATGCATTTACTAAGATATTGCCCTTGAATGATTATTGAGGTAGTTGTTAGTGTCCCACATTGATGTTTCTTTATATGTTTCCACTATTAATCTATAAATTAGATATTGTTGGTTTATCCAATTTGATGAGTAGTTTTCATGGTTTTGTAATGACATTTTCTGCACTAATTTGTAGTGGAGGATACACTAATAGATCAAAGAAGTAATCTTATTTATGTACTTTTTAATTAGACCCTATTTGAGAAAACTAGAAGAACTTTGTTGAGTTACTAAGCTCATCAAAGTAAAATTTAAGGCCACATAATTCTTTTCAGTTTGTCTTCAAATAGTTTTAAATCTTTTATTTACTTCAATCATTTACTATAAATCTACTATTTATTTCATTCTTTTTTTTTTTTTCGGGCAGGTTGGCCTTTTTTCTTCTTGTCCAGGTCGACCGATTTTCTCTTTCGGTTTGCACAGTCCAAGCTCTGCAGCCTACTTTGAAAGCTCTATCCACATGTAACATGTTTAAGTGCTAAGAGGAAAGGAGATAAATACCTCTTAGAATATATGAGTTTTAGATTTTAACCCTTTACACTTAATTAATATCTTTTAGTAAAAGAATTATATTAATAAAAAAAATATTAATTAAGTAATTTTCCGAAGTACTAGTACTAAACTTTTACCATATCCCCACAGTGATGGATGACTTTTATGATGGCTAAAATTAACATTAAAAAAAAATGTTGCATTAGATCCTATCAAACATTTCTTTTAATTTCGTTATTTATTGTCAATTTTTTTTGCTCAAACTTATTTACTGTCAATTTGTCATTACTTATCTTTGAGTAAATCAAACTTGCAGATGCAAGCAGTTGTAGACTTGTAGTTAATTTAACATTCTCAATTAAAATTTTTACATTTGAAACTATATCATAATGAAGGACCAACAATTAAACTCCTTAAGTGACAAATAAACTTTATATAATAATTTTTCTTTTATTTTACTGGTTACGGAGTCTTTTTTTTTTTTTTTTTTGACGTGTATTATAGATTAAAACCTGGAATGAAATATGTTGACGGTCAAATTTTGCCAACAAAAAACCGACCGGGTTACCTCTTGCTTTTCCTTTGGATTACCGGCCGCGGATGTGATTAACGTATGTGGATTTGTTGAACATGTGTGTGTTTATATGTTAACTAAATCATACATAGACAAATGACACAAGGAGTTTTTATAGTGGTTCACTCTATGAAATGAGAGCTACATCCACTGTAATTTTGTATTTCTTTGTTGGAAGATCACAACTTACAATGATAATTCTTACTAAATCTGTTCTTTTCTAGTTATTTTTCGAACCCCTTCCTTACTGGGGTCTTCCTCTTTTTATAATGGGCTTCCTTCGCTTAGGGAGTTTCTTTCATAGGTAGAAGCACTCAAGTGCTCTCCTTTGGTAGGCCCAGACGTAGCCCACTAATCAGCATTGTTCACTCAGCCAATTAGTCTCCTATTACGGCTCTGAGCTTCTCCGTAATACTTTTCTGTCCCCTGTGTGGGGCGGTTTGAGAGCTTGCAATTAATGCATGCAGATGTCTTCCACTTAAGCACGCAACCCGTCATGTCTTCTAAAGAACGTTCCCCTCGTCGTCAGCGCGGCTTGGCCCAATCGTCCACTTTGGATCCTTCCTGCGGCCAAGGGATCTTCGTGCCTACGACGCGATCTGTCGATGCCATAAGGGATCGTCGTCCTGATTTGGGCTTCGCGCTGTCCAGCGGAATAAGAGGGGTCCGTAGACGTCGAGGGTTTTCTGATTGGTGGGGAGTGATCAGGGCCACGTGTCGCATTATCGTCTGTCCACGCGTCCGTCACATTTTTCCATACAGCAAAATATTCGATAAAGTTGAAATTTGTCGCTCTTATCAAACAAGTAAATGCGCGCAGCAAAAGGTAAATTGAATTTCATACTTTGAATGTTTTACATCTAAAGTTATGTCATAATAAGGGGCCAATAATTGAGTTCAAATAAGTGACAAATGAATCGACTTATAATATTTATTTTGTTTTTATTTGCCGGTTACTGGCTTTTTTTTTGTGTATTAAATTAAGACCTGGAATAAAAGTATTGTAAGAAATTGAAATTCTTCACTCTATAAATACCCAGGTCATGGTATTTTAATATAACGGTGATTTGAAATGGCAAGTCATTCTAAATGGATATATTTCTCGACCTTCAGTTTGTTCTTTGTAGTGAGCTTCTTTGATTCAGGTCAGTGTATTTTTGTTCATTTGTGCTTGATATATATCTTTGTGTGTGTGTGTGTATATATATATATATATATATTTTATGTATGTGTGTGTATCATGCCTAATAAATTAATGTGTGTGTATCTTGCCTAATAAATTAACACTACACGAAAATGTACGTCGAAGACATAAGGCCCGTTTAGTTCGTTGATTCGAGTTGAGATACGACTTTATGTGGGAGCTTTTTACTGTAGCAAAAAAGTTAAATATGACTGTTTCTGATAACTTTTTACTGTAGCAAAACTCAAATTCTAAACTCGAATCAGTAAAATGAACGGGAACTTAAGTAATATTGACATTGATCACTTTTATAGTACTAAGTTCATTAATTTGTAATATCCATTTATGATATTTGTATATAAAGTAACAAATGTCAATTCATGTGCAAGTACTTCTATTTGGATCATATTGGATTAGAAGTGGATGTATAAGTTAGAAATACAGATAGCGATAATTCCACACCCATTTTTAATATTGAAGTTTTAAATTTTAAACTCTCTCCAAGTTCAAGAAATAAATAAATTAGATGTATAAATGTCAAAATTTATGTCTAAAGGTTATAATAACTTGTCTAGTTTTTTTTTTTTTTTTTCCTTTTTTAACTTGTAGGGTTAATTAGGAAAAATTTCCCCCCTATTTTCACTGTTTTCCACAAATATCCTAACCTTTTGTTTTTGAAAATTACAATTAAAATACTGAATGAATTGACTCTCTTTGCAAATCCTTTCCCTATTAACGGCAAGATTGGAAAATAATAACAAATTTATCATTTTTATCATTTTTTGTAGACAACTTAGAAACCAAAAATATGGTGAATGTATCTGCTATATGGATTACACATAATATATAATTTTTCTACCAAACATTAATTTATGTAATGTTTATAAAATATATGAAAATCTAAGGTCATGTTCTTTTCGCTGATTTAAGTTTAGCTACAGTAAAAGCTCTTAAAAATAGCCACATTTAACTTTTTTACTACAGTAAAAAGCTCTCACACAACATCACATCTCAACTCGAATTAAAAACTTGAATTAACGAACCGAACGGGCCCTAAAAAATTACGCTAGTGATGAGTAAACTAGAAAATAATGTTACCAGCAAGTACTTTTTTTCTTTTTTTTTCTTTTGAACTTGGAGCAGAGAATTCGGAGTCACTTATTAACGTGAAGTTAGTCAATCAAATGTAAATATATATATATATATATTGCAATTTCTATACTATTTACTCCATATTTTACATTTAAATGGCGTTGGTTTATTGAAAACTTTGTTGAGGTTGAATTTGACTTTTTCATTTTAACTGTGGAATTGTAAAACTGGTTATTGACTATTGAGTTACCAGTCTTTAAATCACAGCTTATTGAAGTTAATCTTTACTTTTTGTTAACTCACACGATCACACCACGTTTGTGGTACAATCTTATTTCCATAAATATAACAGAGAAACTGCCTTTAACGCAGGTTTGGTCAGTTTTAGAAGAAAGAAAATACTATTTCAATGGAAAAATGAGACAAATATTAAATTTTTACCACTTATACTAATACTTTTTAGTTAAAAAACTATATTAATAAAAAAAATATTAATAAAAAATAATAATAATAATCTTAAAATAATGCAGTCAAATGGAGAGTTCATCAATTTTCTCTAATTTTTTTTTTCCAATTGTATTAGAGTTAGTAACAGCTATTAAAACAAAAAAGCTCAAAAAAAAAAAAAAAAAAAAAAAAAAAAAAAAAACAGAAAAAATAGCTAAACTTACTCTTAAAGTGCATGATTATGAATTTTCACCTCTTACTCTTGATTAATACCCTGTTAACTAATTTAGTCACTTCAACTAAAAAAGTATTAAACAAAAATAAATAATAAAAATTTAAACTCATGTACTTTAAAAGATATTTGTCATAATTTATCTAGAAACAACTTTGTATTAAATCGTACAGGCAAGAAATAACTTGAGTGTTTTTATTTTTTCCTGCTAGAAATAACTTTAGTTACAAATGAATTTATGATGCATTCTAGCCGTAGCAATCACCAATTCTTTTTATAATATCCCATAGTACTGAATACTGATGATGTATGCCTCAATATTCTTTACAGCTCATATATATATATATAGACACACACACACACACACACACACACAACAAAACAAAACAAAACAAAACAAAACAAAAAACAAAAAGTCTTTACAGCTACAAATTAGCAGAGTGCAGTCGTCTCAATGATATTTAAAGCCTGTCATCTACCACTATATTTTGCACAACGGCTTATATTTCAGCTAATTCCATTTCAACAATAAATCATAAGACTGAACAAACTATTCATTCGAACAAGGGAAAAACACGCAAAATATAATTTATACTTGAAGCTTGAGGCCGAATTTCAGCTTCTTCTTTCATCTTCTTCTTCTTTTTTTCTTTCTTTTTTTCTTTTTTTTAAGAAAGCAAAAGGCATTTCTTCCTTTATGTGTTGTGCTGGCATAGATATGCATTATTTGGTTCAAAATCATTCTCGTTTATTCAATAATGGTTTTTTTACCAGAACATATAGAACAACACGTCGACTACAATAGTCCGGATGCCACTGTGTTTGATCAACACGCCCAACCAGGAAATCCTTCATTGCCGCTTCTAGAAAGTATTCAAGGATAGTATCTGTTGCAGAAACAAGTATTTAAGAACAATGCGTAAAAAGAAAATAAGTTTCGGACACAAATAACAACCTTTTACCATTTCGAAGCTCTCCAGCCAAAAAGATTGTTGTTTCGCAGCCACAGAGTTGCTGAAGTGTCGCCAATAAATCTGCCACAGCTCCCTCGCTATAGACCACATCAGACCCTAAAACTTGAATCAAGTTTCCACAAGAAAAATGGTAATAACCATATCAGAAGTGGAAACCTTAAACCAAACCAGTAGGGCATAAACAGAAGGACGTATCAGAAGTGGAAACTGGAATCAATTGCTTCTGCTTATGCCCTACTGCTCCCTCGCTAAGCAGCAAGGCAAAAACAGAAGCAATTGTTTTTTCAAACAATTATTTGTGTGTCAAGCCATGGTTTCCACATACGAGATAAAATAAAATAAAAATTAATTAATTAATTAAAAAAAAACAAAAAAACAGAAGATGTAGTTTCTTAGAAAAGGACTGCTTTTCATCACCAACTGAATCCCGCAGATGGCTCTGTGGCAGAAAGAAGTTGTGATTGCATCAACAATGATAATAAAGACATTTTCTTCATAAATTAGTAATTACAAATGTTGCCAGTCCCACTTACCTACAAAGGATACTATATGCCTTTATGCGATCCTAAAGAATGTCATTTGAAATGTAAATGCTAAACTTGCTATCAAGCGTGATCATGAAAAGCCACTTGAGCTATTAAAGATAGCACAAGCCACAAGTGCCATGGGACACAAAAGGTCCAATAGTTTTCGGAACAAACCATTGGACATGGAGCTTACCTGAGCAGACTCACAATTTGACCTCTATTGTGTTTTTAAGCTTTACACTTTTCAGCTAACCTACCAAATAGGAACAAAAGCCCCAATTCTAATTCCAACATTAACTGTTTAAGTATGATTAATCTTAAATGGTAGCTAAAAGAAAGTAGACTTAGCAATGTATATCACATAAAAACCATGTATGCTAAACACATCTCTCATGTCTGTAGGACAAGAAAATAGTGAGAAACCACTCTTTCTTACAAATAAATAAATAAATAAAATATTGGAAAAGCAAGACTAGGGTTTGTTTGTGCATAACTAAATAATTTACTGACTCTAGAACATTGTCAAGTTACCAAAGCTCCAAAAGCTTAAGCAAGAATGAAACGAAGTCCTATAACAAGTAACCCATGTACGTCACACAAACAAACATGCTTTAAATAGTTATTCCAGGAGTGGGTCTTATCTCAAATGGACCAAATGGATTAAATGTGTAAATAGGATTTTCAAAAGCATGAAAAAATGAAGTTAAGTTCAATTACACTTTAACATAAGGCTTTAACCTATGAAAGTATGTCTTACTTTTACAAGATTTTTCTTATCCATTTTAAATTATCTAAATAAAGACGACATCTCATTTGGTATCGTTAATTGGCTCTGTATAAGGTCAATATTTGAGGTATAGTATGCAGAGGAAAAAATAGTACATGTTTCCAATATACAAAACAAAGTAATAAGAACACTTGTTAGTTGTTACCAAAATCAGGTCGTGGTTCAATCAGTTGCATATCAAGATCATCTCCCCAAGTCAGTTCCGTCACTGTTGCAGAACCCCTTACATTTTCATGACCAACATTGACTTCAACATTCTTTCTTAGTAATCTGAGTCTATCCGGAAGATCAGTGAGGATGACTTGACCGCCTAAAAGAGATGCAATGCAGCTGGAATAACAAAATGAATATCATATCCTTCAAGTGAGCCTGATAATTGGAAACCAATGAAATTATGGACTAACGAGAACTGCTTCAATTCAATCACTGTTTGAAAGCCATTACAGAATATAAGGGTAGCAGAACAGAAAAGGAAATAGATATCCACCGAAATAAACAACTAATTAATAAAGAGAATGCTATTAGCAAGGATCAGGTTAAAAGAACGATTGAACGTTTGGTTCGTGGATTCTGAATCATGATTCAGAACTATTATCGATTTACGTGTGTTTTTTTTTTAAGAAAACACTGTAACGAGCAACAAACCATGATCTGAACCATAGCACGAATCCACCAACCAAATGCACACGAAAGGACTGGTATCACCATTACCCAACTAATCCGCATCCAGAGCCCAACTCAACAATCTTCTTGCCTTGAAGATTAAGCATCCCTGAATCTACTGCATCCTCCAGAAACTTCCCCAAGACAACTCCACTGTCCCACACTACGGCACCAGTTACTCCAGGAGTGCTCTGTGATTCAGCAATTAAAATTATTAGAGAACCATAATAAAATTAGAGATAGATACTAATTAAATTATGAGCTTACCAAAAACAGTCTTTTATTTGTTTTGCTTTACAAACATCAGGATCATTTTCAACTACATGCATTGACCAATTCATAAAATAACCAGGAGAACTACACAGTTAACTAATTAAAATCTGATTGTGATGACTTATCTTCTTATACTGCCTAAAAAATTTAAGCAAAAAGCACTGTCAAATGGGCCTGTTAACAGCTTACGGGCATTCTTCTATATCTAAACTTTAGAGTCATTCTCAGTTTGCCCCCTAAACTTTAAAAACTCCTACTTTACATCATAAACTTTAAATTGTTCCCATTTAACCCTAATTTTTGTAATTTTTGTTAAAGTTAGAGAGAAAAAAAAGGGGTTTAAATGTGGCTAATGAGGTTTTTATCTATTTATTTTTAACAAAAATTTAAACAGAAAGATCAGGTGACTGCATTACTATCTGTTTTTAACATAAATTACAATAAAAGATTTAAGTGATAATAATTCAAATTTTAAGAGATAAAATGTGAGTTTTTAAAATTTAAGGACAAACTGATAATAATGACCCTAAAGTTCAGGGTAGAGTGATAATAATCCATTATTTTAAATGCAACTTACATTGGTTTTTATCATTGTCCCACCATCCCACTGGTAATTTACTAATTTCACATACTTTCCTACTTTTAAGTGCATTTAAAGATAAAATTATTGCTATGATTTCAACTCTCTTTCCTTTTTTTCCCCGTTCAAAACTAAAACTTGAAAACATAATGGTAAAAGAAAGAAGTATAAAAGAAAAAAGGAGTGGAATAGAATTATGTACCAGGGAAGAAGGGGACTGAAGAATGGAGAGCGAGTGGCCACAGGCGTCGAGAGAGAGACAAAGAGAGTGTTGAGAGACAAAGGCGTTGGGTTTGGAGAGAGTGGGTTGTTGGATTCCCCACAGCAGCATCGTCTCCTCAGCGGCGGCCGCGGTGGCGGCGGTGCCGAAATCCTCATCCTCCTCCTCCTCGTCATCGTCACCGTCACCGTCACCGTCACCTTTAAGAAGAAGCAATGACCTCACTGTTCCTCCGTAGGATCCCAATCTCACCATTCTATCACTCTCGTCGCTCATTTCTCTCTCTTTTTCTCTGCCGACTTCGCCAGCCATGACTGCTGGAGGAGTTACCTTTCGCTTTCGGGAGACAAAACAAAACTCGGTTTGTTTGGGGGGAGGGGGGGAAATTACAAGTAGTGCCTTTTGAGTCCCTGCACTTGCACTTGTAATTCTACAAAACACACAAGAGAATTTTAAAATTATAAAATTTTAAAATAAAATACTTAAGAATAATTAATTATAAATTAATTATAAATTACATAATATGATTATTTAAGTTTAATTTTAAATTTAAATTTTGAAACACACATGTGAAGGTGTTCACATAGTATGAGCTCACAGTAGTGTTGAAACTTTAGACGGGCCGCCCGCGACCACTGAAAAGTCTAAATTTTTATCCAATTACCGAGCCCAAATTGCCCGAAAATTCAGGCTGCCTAACCCGACCTGAATTTCCCCATGGACAGGCTTCGGGCAGCCTTTGACTGCCCATTGCCTGACCAAACTGCCCGAAAATTTTAATATTTTTTATATTATATATATATATATATTACAATTTGAAATTTGAAATGAACACACGAACTATATAAAAAAAATTATTTCTTTATTGATTTTTAAATTTGTAATTCAGAATTGCCTCGTTAAAAACCTTACCGAGATAAACCTAATTGGGATAAAAACTTGGTAAGGAAAAAATAGTGCAATCATTGTGGGACGAATTACAAATTTGACGATCTTACAAAGTCTATACAAGATTACAATAACACTATACAAATTAGAAATTATAAAGTAAATAAATATTTACAAATTACAATAATAAAATTTAATTTGAAGCAGAATGATCGTCTTGAAAATTAAAAGTTAATCTATTAAATTTATCGATTCATTCTTGGCTTGCCGGTGAGATTGTATCATGTAAGCGTTGCTTGAAACGATCTCAATCCTTGATACACACCAAAGCTTCAACAAATATCATGTTGCAATGCGTTTCACCATTCTTCAAGTATTCGGCCGGTTGTACTGAATGCTTGTTCGGTTGCAGCAGTGGAAACCGAGATCGAAAAAATATCCATTGTCAGTCATGTTAGGATTGGCCAAGTTAATGCTCACGCCCTCCACCATTGAACCAAATCAAACATTTCAGTACTGTCTACAACTAAGCCCTCACTTAGGTACGCCATTAACTCGTTGAAGCCGCCGCTGTTGCCGCCACCTTTTGATGAAGATCCACTCCCAGATTCTTCTTGACCTTGAGTCGGCGTCGCCGTCTTCTTCTTCTTCTTAGACAACCCAAAAACATTCAAGAATGAATGCGGATTATCGTCTCGTTGTTGCGGTTGTTCAACACGAGGTGTGTTTTTAAACCTACTTTCATAAGAGCTATAGAGAGAAAATATTTCTTTCTTTATAATAGGAAATTGGTCAGTAGTGTCGATAGCTAAAAATTCACCTAAGTTATCTAATCCACTTTCTAAACCTTCTAATTTTAATTTAGGGTCGAAAATAACACCAAAATCATATAACATGGGTAATTTCGACCAATAGTTTTTAAACTTCTTTTCCATAGAAGCGATTGGAACTCGTAAAATCTCGTGTGTCCTAAATTCACTAAATAAATATAGACATTCTTAAAAGTTCTCCTAACGCTAATGGTGACGTTGGGTAATAAGTTCTACTAAGTTTTAAGGTAATTTCATGAAATCTACCTAAAAAATTAAACAAGAGTTCGGCAACTTATCAATCAGTTTCATCTATAAATCATGGTCCTAATTTTGCACTAACATAGTTTGTTATAGCATCTTTATAGGGGATGCATTGTTCAAGCATTATATAAGTGGAGTTTCATCTTATTGGCATATCTAAGGCTAATACTCTAGGATTTTGATTACATGCTTGTAGAAATCTAAACCAATCTTGTATTCTTTGATTACTACCTT